TTAAAGATTGGAAGGATGCTGTCAGGTCCAGCTTACCAGTGCTGGTAGACATTATGTCAAGTGCCAGAAGAACTTATTTTTCACTATGCCAGTAAGCTTCCTCAGTTGCTTCCAGTTGCATAACATATTAAACACCAAAGCAACCAACAACAACGTGACTCAAATCACCCTATCGCATGTTTGTCTAGTACTATGTCATTTTGATGCAGTTACTTTATTCATTCTCTGAATAAGAATAAAAGAAATCAGTCTGCTTGAATCCTACACAGTTGTGGAAAAGAAGCTCACTCCAACAAACACCACAGGCCCTGCACAGGAAGGGAAGCAGCTGCATGCCCAGTGACCCTACTCCACAGAACGCCTCCATCCCCTAATAGACCTGAACAGAAAAGAGGAGCTGGGCTGGGAGAACATCCAGTTCTTTCAAGCCTGACAGATCTCTGAGACTGCTGACCATTTATCCACATGGTCAGTTACTATAATTACATTTACACTGCACAATGCCCCCTAATTCATAAGGTACCAGAGAAAGCACAGATCTCTGCACAGGACAATTTACCCTATTCTCATTAGTTGTTTGACTAATTTACCGCCTTTGTAAGTGATACTGTATATCAGTTATTTTACTGAACAAAAACTTGTACTAATGAAACTCACAACTGTACATGGCACACAAGCCCTGGCAGAGCAAGCAATGTTGGAGCAAGGACACAACTTCAGTGAGAGCTGAGACCATTCGGCAGTCAGCAGAGGTGCCTACACAACACGGGCTGCCGAGGGCACAGGTGCACACTCCTGGAAACAAGTACTGAGTGCTCACCTCTGTCTAATCCTGGGCCAGGTGCACCACTGCTGAGTGTTGCTGAGTCCACCTGTGTGTCACTCAGAGCTGTGTTTCTCTCTGGAAAGTAAATTAATCCCAGCCCTCTTATGCAATGACAACCAATACTGGAGTCAGATCAAAAAAACTGTGCACTACATAGAAGTCTGCAATACAGCTATTGCATGACATTAAAAAAAATAATCTTGAAATGGAAAGCTTCTGTTTAGAAAACAGGGTCCTCTGTGTCCTTCAGAGAATCTTCTAAGGGAGACAGCGGATTGTGGAAAATTGTGGCAGGAACGACCAAGTGGGTATAATGCTATAGATGGCCAGAGATAATATGCTACTCAGTTAAAAATCATACCCAGCATTAAATGAAGCAGTCTTTTGTTCTGCTGCAACACAGCAAATTATTTCCACAAGAACAGACACAAGGAAAATGTTTAATGCAAAACCTACTCCAGGAAAATGGATTTTCTCACCAGATGTCCTTCCTGACGTCTTATGGCCATTCTGGGCTCCGCTCTACTTCAATGACTGCTGCCCTCAGCCTTTGAAGCCAGAACTTTGCAGCAAGCCAACTGCCAATGCTGCCAAACCCCGCTGCAGCAGCACGCTGCGAGGTGATGCTCAGCAAAACCGAGTGACAGTAGCCCTGAGCAGCGGTTTGATCAGGGCACAGCAGGAAAGGCAGGTACGGGTCACTTCCCTATGCTCTCCTACCCTTCGCAATGCGGCTGATAACTGCTGACAGGGGCAGGCGCAAAGGGTGACCGACCGCCGTGCGGCCACCTGAGCCAGCATGGCATGCTGAGTAGATTCTGGGCATCTGTGTCAGCCGCCACCTCCACTGGGCACAGGCTCCACCTGGCTCTGTGGCACCGAGAGCAGGCAGACCCGTTCAGAGGGCACTCAGGGGCCACACACTGCAGTTTTTAACTGTATTATTTTATAGCATGAGTAATACCATCTGTGGTGAAGGAGGGCAGTTCTAGGTGGGGTGTGGGAGGAGGGCAGTTCTAGGTTTAGTATTAAGAGTTCTCCTTACTAAGTAAATGTTGCTTCTTTTTTTCAAAGAAAAAAACAAGAATATATTAAACAAACAAAAACACCAATAATGTACCTGTCTTGTGCCCCACAAGCAGAATCTTCTCCTGTTACATATACGTAAATGATAAAATTATCCCTGATTTCCTTAAGAGTCCTAAAGTGCTACAGGTATTTACACATCAACAAAGACTCTTCTACATTAACAAGCAATTTCAACTGTGTAGGAAGCTGTACAGAGATGTCTGGCAGAGAACAAAGAACGCAGATGCAGAATAACAACTAATGCATGGGAATTTTACCACATACAGAAAAAAATCACAAATGTTTTTAGCAAATGCTGGAGTGAAAGATTTTCCAATAAGTACACCATTTAACAGCAAATTATTTCCTCCTGAAAATGGGAACAAATGCAACAGCTTCAAGCTAACTGTTTTAACACTGCATGCAAAGCTAACTTGCAAATATTCACATTTGCTAACACCTAAATTAGATGTTATAACTGTCAATGCAATTCAGTCTTTTCACTTGACTACAGAGGGAAAGTTAAAAATTGTAAACTTGTGGTTTTATATTAAAAAGTGAATTTGTTATAAAACTCCTAGCCCAGCTAAGCAACCATTCAGAGGCAATGTTAAAAGCTGATGAATTGGTTTACTTTCCTGCACAGACAATTAAAAATCAGAGACTAGTTTTCCCATAACAAGACATTCCTTTCTAGACAGGATGTTAACCCAAGGCCAAGGTCTACCAAATGGGTATCTTTATGAGGCATTTTAAGTAACGTTTCCTTCAACATTACTTCAGCAAAGCAATGCTTTCAGAAACATATTTTCCTTGCTCTTTGTACCCCAAATAAAGCATGAAGTCTTTGCAAGGTTTCATAAGCGGCATTTCTGAGCCCATCCCTACAGCTGCTCACCCTGCACAGGCACAGTACGAGAACTAGGGCAGGGAGCCACGAACCAGTGCCCACATCACGACGGTCACCCCAGAGCGGGCTCCTTCTAAACCCCTACCCAGCACGGGAGCTCGCCATTATTCAATCAAGCTTATTTCAAGACAAATTGCTGCGGTCCCCTTGTCAGCCTCTAGCGGGGCCGGGGAGGAGCGGGCTGGCACCACCCAGCCTTCCCGCCACCACAGGTGGTGCCAGCCTTCTCCCCCAATGATTATAACAACCTAACGGACAACAGAAGTCCTCAGCAGAGGGCTGTGTTTCTGACAAAACCGGAGGGTTTCCGGCGATTCAGCTGTTAATAAAACTTACCGAGGGAGCCCGACCACCGCCCCGCTCCGCAGGGCCAAAAGCAAAATTGCAATGGAAGCTGCCCCAAACAAGAGAGAATTTACAGATTTTATTAGGTCTTACAGATAACCATAGTATGTTTTATCAATAGTCACTGTATGGACCAAAAGAGAGATACAATTAATGTGATTGTACTATATTGCTAAACTAGTATTACCACAAAAATGAAAAGAGCATGTTTTTGTGCTCTTTTTAATGAAAAGAGGTGTTTTTAATTGTTTACAAGTAGTCCCATTATCATACATCCTGCAGTTCTAGAGCTGAGGCACTACAGCACAGACATCATAAATCTCACCCAAATTCCCAGTTTTATATATGCTATGACTATGGCTGAAGTAAAATAAAAAAATAACAACAATAATTTCCGGACAACTTCAGTGTCAAATCTCTAAAGTCTCTTAAATTTGCCTTAAATTTCTGGATATAAAAAAACCTTTAACATACTTGTTCCTGAGGATAAGTAGTCCTCAAATTATTTTTTTAAGTACACCTGAAATATATTGGTAATTTACAAACACGTTTCAGGGTAACATGATTGGTAAGTAAACAAGTCTTTGGTAAAGAATAACTACTCTGCTCTTTACTCAGTTAAAAAACTTAATTTATTTTTAAATCTAGATCAACTAATTTTTTAACAATTATTTCCATAATGAATAAGGCTCATATGGCACAATGCTGAGTGGGATGAATGACTACGTAGCAAAAACTGAATGATGTTTCCAGGTTACAAGTCCTGTTAATAGTAGGTTCCTGCTCTGGCTCATTTTCTTTTTGTGCCCTTCAGCCAGGCCCAGGAAGCTGAATCTGCATGAGAGCTTTCTGATGAATTAGATTTCCAACATTTAAAGGTATCAGCAATCGAGAAAATACTGTCCATTGGAAGGATACATTCTACAGTAGGTACTGGATTGTATGCTAGAAACTACAACAAAGCAATTAGTTTAAGGTTGAAATCATACATTATAGCTGCAGTATTTCCTAAAAATGACCGCTTTGCCACTTGCACAGTAAAACAGAAAAACTATGCACTATGTGTGCTTGTGCGAGTCGGAGATGACTGCTTGCTCCCAAAGGAAACCTAAAGGCACAGGACATAGGTAATGGGAATGAAAATCTGGAAAAAAACATTGGCTTCTGTTTTATTACAAGAATCCAATTAGAAACCGAATGCCTAAACTGATATTTTTACTGTTTGTGTAACTAGATGCCTTCACTTTGGCTAAAAGATACAATATGTCATTTATGAAAAATAGCAGCATTGAATACATCTTATAATTTTAGAGGAGAAATAAAAAGATATCTACTTTAGGTTTTGTTTACAGAATTTTGGGGATTATTTTAAACATGTCCAAAAAATGATCAGCTTATTCTTGATGACTGTTGCAGTTTTACTCTTCTACTACAGTTTTTTAATCATCTTCCTTGTTAAAGGATCAATTACATTTGAGACAATAAATAGTATACTTTACAATAAATAATATTCAAGTCAAAGTATTGTACTTACAAAATAATGTAACACCGTAATAGGATCTTCAAGATCAATTCCATTTCATATATTCTGCAGCAAAAATAACATTTCTAGTAGGAAGGAATTACTTAGAAACCTAGCAAGATCTACACATTCACGTGTGTGTAAACAACTTAACAAGGTTTATCATGTTTCCAGAAAAACTATGCTTTTACAGTAGGTTTTAAGCTAAATGTTATCATAACATGGTAGTAAATATATAACAGTGCTTATATTTTGCTCCATCACAAATTTTAATTGAAAAAAAAAATGGAGTGCCATTATTTACAAAGAACAGCAACTTTCCTTTTGCTTCACAAGTGGCTGTATCTGCGTGTGAACAAAATGTTAGGACGAGGCATTCCAGACGAACTGCAGCTAAGGTTGGGTGAGGATGGTTTCATGATAAATAGTGAAGGTCCTGGCAATAAATACCTAGAAAGGATATGAAAAACATAGCAGAGTTTACAGGCAAAGTGACATTCAAGAGCAAAATAATTAGCTGTTCATGTGCCATACCTTAAAATCATTGGATAAAAGAAATTATGTACAATAAACACACAATAAACATACAGGACATAAGGCAGTAGCTAATTCAGGAAACAAACCTTAACTCAGAGAAACTCTAAGCAAAATTTCAAGATTTTGTATGAGAATCAAACATGTTTCCAGTCTTTTATGTTTAAAGCAAGTGGATAAACAAGCAATGGCATCCTATGGAACACTACTACCAAAAATTGATACTTCACCCACTGTTATCTGTTACTAAAAAACTATTTATTCAATTAAAACTGGGTAAAAACGGCAATTGATGTTAACCAGTTTATAAACAGTTAAGCTGTGAAAAAGTTGATTAGCAATAAAATAGAAATTTTCAGCTTTAGTTTCCAGCTCTAATTCTCTAAAAATAGACATGTTATCATCACTACTCTAATAAAGCAAGAAACAATGATGCTGCAACCTAGTAAGTCACATCAGTGGCCACTTACCTTTTAAATTCAGGCAACCATATAGCCTGTATTTTACATAATACTACAAATAATTTATCACTTGCCTAATATTAATTCTTAATTTTTTTCATGTTATCATTTCCTAATAGTTAATTGCAGAAATCGTTAGATGGGCACAGTAAGTGTGCAAAAATAACATCCAGACTAAATCACAATTTTATAATGAATTATGTCAATGTTAGGATGGATTAACATAACACATTGTATAAACTATTGCTTAAAAATTGTTGCATCATTGTAGTGAACCATATTGATTAATGACGAATAAGTCAGAAGAGTGATCCTACCAATCACATGGATAGAAACAGCATCATACTGCCAATGGGAGACAATGTATATCAAAAAGTATACATGTTTCATTTGTTTAAGCTTTGGGAAAAGCTGCTGCTATAAAAATATTATCACCGATATATTTTTTAAACAATTTACAAAAAAAATAAAGACAGATTTGGTATCTGTTGGTGGTGAGCTTGACAGTTCACTATGTCAACAAAATGAGTCCTACCTTTGCTTGATGATACAGTAAAAAACTCTAATGCTTCCTGAGACTACACCATGTAATAGATAAGATTATTTAGCAAGCTGTAAGGATCTAGCAGTTGATGGTCTCTCTTTGTATTTTGTAACAAAGGTGAATGTAACAAAATATGAAAAGTCTGACTTTTTACACAGTTTGATTTTAGCTATTATTTTAGAGAGATTTTGGTGTAGTTTTTGAAGTCTCCTTTCCTTTACATTTTTAATTTTGTGAGGAAAAAAATGACACTAATACACATTTATATTAATACTCCTATTCATTGTCTTTGTGACATAAAGTGGATTTACAGTTAGGAGATGGGATTGAGAATAAATCTGAAAAGTGAAAAAAGAACTCTGTGGCTGCTTTCAGTATCTTTTTCTCTCTCTCTGTACAAATAGATTTTCCCAGCTAAAGTGGTATGTATTTGTAATCTTTGAAAGCTTTAGTTTCACAAACGTTTGTTTCATAAACACAAACAAAACAAAAAATTGATTTGTGCTCAGAAAAAACAGTTTTTAAAATTAGATTTTATAAAGTCTTGAAAAAATTGACTTATTGTACATTTATTAAATTATAATCTTATCTCTTCTTGCACTTCACACAATTTCACAGGGAGTTGAGACAACTATTATTACTAGTGCAGGTTCTTATAGAATTTAAAACCAGAAACCTGGATGAAAGCTGAAATAGTATTGTGTTTCTCCCATTTCTAGAAAAAGTGTTTATTACCTTGCAATTGTGGGGCATAATGGGCAAGAACACATATTTCCATATGTATCTTTCACTTCATAGATTGAGAATAGCACAGGTAACTAGCATATCACTGTATCCACAGTATAGGTGTAACATTTGTGGAGATGAATATAGAAACTGTAACTTCAATCAGAGTTGTTGTAACACTCCATTGCTGAAGACACACTGATATTTAGGATACAGAGGGCTTGGACTCCTCTAGCCTATGAAGTTTATGAATAAACTGCCCTTCAGCAGCCAAAGAAACACAGAAGCTGGAGATGAGAAAGTCTTCTTGGACCACCTCTTTCACTGCTTCCCAAATGCCAGCCTGTTTCACACAGTACATTAGAGTAATCCAATCAGTTTGAATAGTTTGTGGTTGGTCACAATGAAAATCTTTCTGCAGTATTAACAATAAAAGCAATAAAGACTTCAAGGTTGAAGATTTTCTAGTCTTAGCTAATCCAGATGACTTTACCATACTCCTGCTATAGCTCGGTAGATGTTAATATTCAATATGATTTGTTTGGTGGCTAACATACTTCTACTTTTGCTGTGACCAAACAAATACAGGTTGTGTTTAAATTGGTTGGTTATAAATTATGTTAGAGTGCCTTAAGATCTATATGACAATAGCAAATAGGTTCAGTCTATCAAATAACTAGCCTGAAATACAGCAAGTAAGCAATGAAGTCATAAAATTAGCTTAGCAGATAATACATCAAAGGTTTGCTTTTCTCGTAATATTTAACTCATAAAGCCCTTCTATGAAATAATGTATGTAAGATGTTTTATATAAACAAAGAATTTTTAAGTTTCTGTACATAATAATTCAAATTGCCACTAGAGAGAGAATTTGGAATCTAAATAATTTGAAAGTTACACTTAATTCTCCACCTGAAACTGTTAAATCACTGATCTTTTACTCATATACTTGAAGCATTTCCAGTAATCCCTATACAGACAGTATTGCAATCTCTATTGTATCCAGTTGGAGAACTAAACCAGCCAATGGAGAATTAGGTAAGTGCCAAATAATTTTTTTACTATATGATGCTGTTTTGCAAGGTTTGAAAGTATATTTATGCTCTGTAAGATGAAATAATAGAACTTTCAATCTGTATATTTTGGAAATCAACTTTGCAAAACTGTGCAATACAGTAAATCAGATGGCACTTACCTGACCCTTGGCTGGAGCTGTGCCCCTATAGCAAATGTGCCCACTGTGAATGGGAAGCCAGAAGTATCACACATGCTAGGATACCTCTAGGAATGCAAATCTGGAATCAAGGACTTTGAGAGATCTGAGAACGGGAAGAAAGGAAATTTTCAGTTTACTTTAAGGAAAGCCTTTGCTGCAGCTACTTTGGCAGTAGGCAAGCAAGACTTGAATGTGTAGTTTCACACAAAATGTGTATATCTAGTCTTCTTTTAGGAGCACTTCATGAGTGGACTAGAGAGATCAGAACAACAGAAACAGGATTAAGGGAAATGTTGGGAGTTTTGTTTTTTTAAAAAAATACAGAGTGAACTAGGTTTAAAGAGAAGTGTAGTGGTAGCAACACAGACTGAAACCTGTTCCAATATTATTCCTTATACTTACAATTTAGAAAGAGAATATTGAAATGTATACCTTGTATCATCCCAGTGGGGGCTCATCCCAGTTGGGGATCCTCTTGAATCTGATGAGTATTTGTAAACCATCAGCAGGCAGTGCTTACAAAGCTGCACTACGCGTTGGCAACACTGGAGTTGCTCAGGAGTCACCACCTCTGTGCTTTTACTGAATATGGTTTCCCAAGAGCTCCTGTTACAGAAAAAGACACGACTTCATGCTTTCTGTGACAAATTGCAATCTGAGAGCTTTACTGCTTCCTATCAGATTCAACAATAGAGGAACGAGAGGAAAAAGCATGACCTTGCCAGTTTACAGGAAAGGTCTATACTATTTAGCACAAATGCTGGCAGATGCTGAGTCCAAAACACAAATTAAGAAGTTAATCTTCATATGTGAAATGTTCACAGCCATTTTTCACTTGGTTTGTTCCCTAAAGCATTTATAGGGCCATTACTTAGATTTAGCACATAAAGATTTACTGTCACATAATTGTATATGCATCTTGCAACAGGAATAAGAAAAAACACTTACTATTTTTAACATCTGAATGCAAATGTGATGTGATTTAGGAATTAATAAAAATATTCAGTTTTTTCTAAATGTCTACATAGCATAATAATACTTTTCTTCTAATTTACATACATGATACTAAGAGACAAATATGAAATTAATTTACAGGAGATAAGTATGTGTTCTGCTTCCTTATCCAAATAATCATAATGAGGAGAGTTTCTCAGTTTAGTCATTCAAATACTACTTGTTTTTCCATTTGGTCATATGGGGTTTGTCTTCTACAATTAAGTGCAACTTGCAAAGTGTATCTATAAAAGCGTTACTTTTTGAAATGCAGACCATCGTGCTTTTGTTTTCTTAAAAAGCCATTTATCTTTCAAAAAAAAACAAACCAAAACAATCCCTACCATAAAACATAAACCAGGTATGTTTTGCCAGAGAAAACAATAGTTCTTTGCAAAGACCTCAACACTCCTGTTTGTGCAAAATCCTGACCAGCTTACAGATCATTACATCTGTTTTAAAGGCAGCATGGTCCCCGTGAAGACTGTTTTTTTGGTCAAAACATTATCCAGTAGCCCAAATGGTTTGTAAGCTTGAGGTTTTTCGTTTGTTTATGAAAGAAACACTTCATATAGTGAGGAAAATTTGCTGTATCTGGCTTTAACACAGCATCCCTAATGCTTTAGGGATTTAGGGTCCACTGAGATCAGCAGTAGATTTCACAACCCTGGTGTAGGAAGTTTGTCCTTAAAACAACATCAAAGAACCAGCAAGCTTTCTTCTGTCTAGTGAGATTTTTAAAATTACGCTGTATTAGGATGAAATTATGGACACTGCTGACTAAAAGATAAGCTGTGTATATAGCGAACTGATTTTTTTCAGCCTGGCTTCTCAGTCTAGATGATAATGTTCTAGTTGAAACTGTTCAGTCCTACAGAATTTCCACCACACACATAATTTTCAAGTAATGCAAGCATTTCTCCTAAATTATTATCCATAAAATGAATTGTTTAAGAAATATTGTTGATAAGACATCAAAACTGTTTCATTTCATAAACACAGTAATTCTACTACTTGAAGAGCTACTATTTTGTTTAATATATTTTTCTCAATATTGCTTCATCCCTGGGAACTTTGCACATGTATTTTTACATGGAAATTAATCTATTGGCTTCATTCTTTCCTCATGAAGTCATATGATGGCTGGTAGAAAGCAGCAAGATGAAGTTCTAAGTATTACATTCATTCAACCAATTCACAGTGCTACATAACATAATTATATTCTAATTCAATCCATAAATGTCAAAAATCCTGTGGAAGAAACTCTCCTGATAAATTTCTTAAGTTCTGGGCTTTGAGGTCTGTGATCACTTTCCTACAGTTTAGGAAGGATTTTATCAGTGAAGAACAATATGTGGCCTGCTAGAACTATGGCCAATTATGAACATAGTGGTATACAGTTACCCTAATAACAAAAACTTGATTTGGAAACATATATATGAATTTTAATGAACTTTCATGTAAATGTGTCTGTGCAACTTCCTTCATGTGCTACACAGATTCAGTTCATACTCCACTATATTGTAGTTAACAGAGATCAAAGCATCTAAGGACAGACCTAAGGAAGCTTAATTAGTTATGCTATAACTTCAGTTTCCATACATTAGTAAGAAATCATGGGAGTCCTCACCAGATCCAGGAAAGAAGTACATGCTTGCTGGTACAATATTGTCAATTCTGTGTTGTTCTTTTTATAACCATCTGAAGACAATTGATTCTATGAGTTTTCTCTTACTAATTTTAATTGTTTATTATACAGTAAAACAAAAGTAGCTTTATGAAACCATCTATATCACAGTCATTTCACTGAAGTTGTCTTTGTTTCTTTGTTCATTCTTTTGCTAAAATACCATATACCTAGCAGAGATCTAATCAGCAAGAGGAAACCTTAAGGCTATTAGCTCTGCTTTTCTCCCAAGACATATATCTTACAAATTGCCAAAGAACTATACTCCTTAATACATTTTCATATACTCATGTTGTTTCTGAATTAGCACATTAATATCCATTCCCAACATATTTCCCCAAATTCTACACATGCCCTGTGTTTATTCCAATCTGTTCTTTAAAATGGCACAATGAACTCTAAGGAAGAGTGATGAGAAGTTGGCCTTTCTGCTACAGAGGTGCTGCCACAAATCCTCTGTTGTGGATTACATGGCAAGAAGGATGCTTGTAACTAAATAAACAACATACTGGGAAGGTGCAAACAGCCTTTCTGGTTTTCTTTCTGTGAATTCTGTATTAAGTATACTACACGCAGAGTGATCTCTACACATACTGGGTATTTGTATTTTACTCTTACAGTATTTTTAGAATCTTTTACATAGCAACTCCTCTTACAGGGAATTGAATCTTTGCCAAATAATTTAGCTCCACTTTGGAGTCAGCTGAGTCTTGTTCTGGGTGAACGAAATTATTGCTAGATGAGAAATCTTACTTCATTGAACTCTTCTGCTGGCTCAAAGACTCTTCTCCTGAGCCAAGTAGCCAGCAGAGTTGTTCAAAGGTTTTGAACAAAAACTATTCTTTGTAGAGAAAAAAAAAACTAAAAAGAAAATTTTCATGCATATTAGAAGATGTACACATTAAAAGTAAAATTCAAAATTATAAAAGTTTTATTAAAGGGGAAGGTAATTATAGTCTTTTATGACAAAAAATTGAGCTTGGACTCAAGACTTCACGCACCTGAGCTGGCATGAAGAAGGGATCCTGCAGCTGCTGAGGATTATAAAAATAAAATAAATAAAAATGTTTCAGATTGGAAAGACAGAAACCTTTTCTCACCCTACTTTAACATTTGGAGCAAGCTGCATTCCCAATACATACCTCTAGCAAATCTTAAGGCTGACATTATCTGCATCTTGCCACAGCCCATCTCAGTGAAAAAAGTGAAGACTCCTAAAGGCTTGCACAACAACAAGAGACCTTCAGGTGTGAGAAAATAATGGTAAAAAAGCCCCAAAAACTGATGACTTTTTGTATGCTCTCAGATCCCTCTTCTTGTTGTTATTCATTTTGTTGGGATAATTTTTGGGATAACAATTAACAAGTGCATTATGTGCATTCTCTGTGTATGACAAATGACTATATGTGAAGAACATATTGACCTGATTCCTTTGGACACACAATATCCATCAGCATACTATTGTGTTTGTTGCAGTTCATTTTCAAGGAATCTCCTAGAATACCTTGTGCAAGTTAATCAAACCCCCCCCCAAACTTTAAACATTGTATATACTTACAGAGAAAATGTCTTTTTGTATGCAATATATTTAATACATAAACATTTGTATTCTTATTTTATTAATAAATTGGGGGGGGGGGAGTTATTTGATACCTATCATTTCATCCTCCAAACCTATTCTTACATAAATACCTTTGATTTCAGGAACATAGGTTTTGAAGTGTAGGATATTGAACTTTCAATATATGATCTCTTTCTAGCCACAAAAAAACTTGTATTTGCTACCTAAACCAAAACCATCTGCTTACCACAATGTGGGTATTTCCTATTCTGCATAAACTGAAATTCCCAGCAGTGTGGGAAACAGTGAATGTAATCAAGCACAGAAATTCAAACTCATTATTTGTAAATCCCAGAACTGACACTGCATGTGGCATGAGATGTCAGCTGCACTTGTGATTGAATTCTTTTCCCTTTTAAGTCTTGAGCTGAGGTAGACAAGACAATGATTTCTGTTGATGCTAAGTCCGCTAAGTTTTGACACTTACAGTGCATCATCCAATGAAAGAGTTGACCTAAATCTCAGATATTTTGGAAATTGGATATTTTTCTTAGATTATTATATTTGTAAATACATTACTAGATGTCTGGTTCCATTACTGAAATGGTTAGCCTAGATTATTAGATTTTTAATTGTATCATATTTTTAGATGGTTTTAAAACAAGTTCAATGTATTACAGCATTCCGTAGAATTAAAATGAGCAACAAAGTATGCCACCATTGATTGCAATTGTAAAGTTATGAAGAAGACTAAGATAAGAAAAACAGGCTTACCCTGTACTACAGAAACAGCTCCATAGACCTTGACCATGGCACCAAAGTAAGCGATTAAATACACGGTTGAAGAGACGGTACAGATGTAAATTTTCAATGTCTGGAGCCTTCCAGACACGCTGTAGAACTGCACGAACACTTGTCCTGACTATATCCAAAACCTAGGAAAGAGGATTCCAAGCAAATCAGAGCAAAGGCATATTGCAAAACCTAAAGCCAACTGTTCGCTGATTCACTGCACACATACACACACAAACACACACGCACAGATGACTGCATAGCTATAAATTCCCACAGATGTCCATGTTTCATTTCTGTGCATTCATCAGCAAACTTTTATGATATGCTTTTTCTGTCAATAACATTTTGCAAAGCTAAATCAAAATATTGTATTTTTATTACAGAAAAGTTCATTTCTATTTTTTTCAGTCTGTTCAATACTAGCTCATTTAAATGACAAAAAGAGTTTAAAAAGAAACAAAATAGACACAATTACAGACTAGAAGCAACATAATTAACAACCCAAATATTATATATTTGAAGATTCTCTCTTCTTCTTTTCCCATTCCCTTTTAAAATACCATCTATTTTATAAAGAAGTAAAATGTCCTGAAAAGCTACAATCTGCTTTTAGTTTAATGTCTGTTTTATCTCAGCGTCATCCAAGATCAAACCACAAGATCAAACCATTTCAGTCTATCTTTCATACAGGAAACAGTGTCGTGAAATCAATAAGTAAGAAAATAATCAGCAAGATACTTAAAATAGCAATGTTTGTAGAAATGCAATGGATTTATAATATATGGACTATATTCATATGCAAGTGTGTAAAGATGTGGGTGAAGAAAATGCTAAGCTGCATTCAGTATCGCACTGAGTGAAGGAGATTTGGTAGAAGAGTAAAGTATGGAAGCATGGTGTAGAACTGCAATTTTTTGGTCCTGCATAACAAACTGTTGTTTATAAACAACCTGATTAGACATGACGAAGGAAACTAAGCATAAGTAAACAAAATGCTTGCAATAGCACAGTGAAGCAGTGTAGTAAAGAGTGAAGTAATGCTTAAGGGACAGAAAATCTATAGATACCTAACAATGACAGCCTCAATGAAATATGCCATTTACATGTTATTTAAGCTCTTTTTTGGAGACCTTGGATTAGTCAGCATGGAGAGTTCTTGCACTAATTCTATGCACATAATATCCCAATGCAGATACGATGCTGGGAATCTTTATGAATGCAGGTGTCTAACACACTAAAAACCCCACCTGTGGTCTCTTCCTCCCAAACAGATACAAAGAGTAGTAAATTATAAGGTAAGAATGGTGACCTTGTTTAGGCTGGGTGAGCTAAACCCAGCTTTTGAACTGGCCCATGCTTGGGGAGTAGTCCAGATTTCAGACATTCCCTTAACAGCGTTAGCTTACTGTTTTAATGCTTCTCAATCAGCCTTTTCCTTGTGTCTGGCCTGATTAAGGCTTTCCCAAAAAACGGCCAGTTGCTGGGCCCAACTAAGTTCCTAAATTACATAAAGGATAAACCATACATTTCTTTGCAATGTTACACAGACTAAAAGTGATTTATCTCCCTGTGTGAAAGAGAACAATTCCTCCCCATATAGATTCTTTGACTAGTCCAAAAGACACGAACTATGATGCCAATGTAGAGTCTTCTCTTCTACTGTAGCACCTGGAGTTGAAGAAAACTAAAGACTGAACCTTTCATCTTAAAGCAAGCCACAGACTGGGAGATACTCTGGGGAAAAAAAGTCTTTCTTGCTGTTTTTACTGTGCTGATATTGCCAATATGCCAGAGGGGAAAACATCCCAGTTAATTGTTCTTAATTTGCAAACATGGCCTCAATCATGTGTTTAAGAAAAGAGACAAGGCATTGCACAAGAGCTGGAACCTCACGAAACCTACATCCTCATTTTTCGAAGTTAATTTCCCTAGTTTGCCTTCATCTTTCTGTTTACTTTAATTTACATCATTTACTTTAACATAACCAATTATCTAGGTGTAACAGAACAAGATGTTATGAAATAGCATATTCAAAACCCTCTGGGAACCATCAAAACACTTTTAAAGAAATTATGTGAAGTGATGTAACACAGAGCAGTCACAACTCCTCCCATACAGAAGTGTCTTTTTCCTAAAAGTCTTGGGAGACTAAATTTCATTGTAGCCTATCTGGTTTACTCTCAACTTGCTTCTAAATGCCTCTTTTACCTCTGCTGTAATGCTGGAATATTACTTAATAAGAATATGAGCAGAAGTTTAAGTTTTCTACATCATGCTAAATAACCGTTAAGCAAATATAGCTGTCAGGGATGAACACTGTGAAATCTAGTACATTGCCCAGGTATTTTCTTCTTGTGTGCTAGAATTTCCCAGTAAGTATAGCGAAGGGGACTGAGTCTCCGTTTTGTATTTCACAAAGTTGCAGAAGGTACCTTTGAGACAGATTCCTTACTTGCATAAATATTCTCCACCTTGAGCTCGCTTCTCTTTTACCCACCTCATTGGAATATAAAACATACTTCTTTCAGATCAACAAAAGCCTACACATTTGGCAGTCCTCAGCTGCAATGTCATTGTCAAAGTTAATCCGTTTTTATAAACTAACCTTCTAAGAATAACTATCTGATTGCTTGAAGGGATTGAGGTTAAAAGCAGTTTTAAAAAAAAAGGCAAATCATTTCCAGTGCAAGCAAAGATGAAGAGCCCACTAGCGCTTCAGGAATTATAAGTCTCCTAAGTTGTAAAAGATGTCCTCGCTCACAGGAAGAGCAAAGAAATCCACATTTTTGATTGTGCAGTTTTTGCTAATAATGACCTGGCACATCAACCTGTATCATCCTGACTTTGTACATGCGCCCCTGGTTTTACATGACTGTCAGTCAAACCAAGGACAGAACCACCCATGTTGTATGCTTTCTGAAATAACGCTTAAAGAAGAAAAGTCTGACTAAATTGAAAAGAAAGGGCAAAAAAAAAGGGCAAAAAAAGACAGACAGACAGACACAGGTAAATTAAGCCAGATAGCTGAAAGAAGCTTAAGAAGGGCAATTGAAGAATGTACAGTAAACAGCCTCAGTCCCTCAAAAAGCAGATTTATCACTCTTTCTGTGGGAATTCCTTTCCATAGTTTTGGGGAATGACCTATGGGGAAGGGTTGAAAGAGGCACCGTAACCAGTCTTGTCTGAAAGCCCTCTATTTCAGCCGCAACAGTGGGTGCAATCTGGTGACTTCTTTCCACACGTGTGGCATCGCAGACTAAAAAAAGCAATTCTAACAACATATCCCCCACCAGTTCCAACTGACCCAAAGA